AGGAATAGCTTCACTTCAAATGTCAAAAGTGCAAAGTCTAAGTACTATTTGTCAGTTACCACAGAAAACCTAAATAATCCTAGGAAATTTTGGAAAGCAATAAAATCGATATCTACCGGTGAGATCCGTAATGAGCTACCTCCGTGCCTTACTACAGCATCTGGCACTATATCAGACAGGGCCACTATGTTAAATTGCTTTAATGAGCATTTTGTGTCCTGCGGTTCTCTGTTTGATTCTGTGACTAACTCTGCTTCTGTGAACACCCCAATCCGTGACTCTGAACAATGTGGTCTGGGAAACCCTTTCAGTTTTACTCCTTTTACTGTCAATGTTGTTCATGAAACCTTATCTAAGTTAGATCCTAAGAAACTGGCTGGCCCGGACAACGTAGAGCCTTTCTTTTTAAAGATAGCTGCAGATGTTATTGCTCTTCCTCTCACTACTCTTTTTAACCTCTCCCTCAGCACAAATGCAATTCCAAAAATATGGAAGTCAGCGTATGTCCTGCCTTTGCTAAAAGGAGGGGTGGCAAGTATTTTAAATAACTATAGGCCAATCTCTAAATTGTCAGTTCTGGCGAAGGTGCTCCAACGCCTAGTGAGTGAACAGGTAAAGGTGTTTTTATGTAAAAATGACATCCTGTCTAAACATCAGTCAGGCTTCAGAAAGCAACATAGCACCATCACTGCCACAATGAAAGTGGTAAATTACATTACGAGTATTTTAGACAATAAGCAGAGTTGTGCAGCTCTATTTATTGTCCTTTCCAAAGCGTTTGACACCGTCGATCATCGCATCTTAAAGCAGAGGCTACTCAGTATAGGCATGTCCAGCCATGCAGTGGGGTGGTTTGTGAACTACCTCTCTGAAAGGTCCCAATGTGTTCACTTTGATGGGCTGTCTTCTGAGTGGTTAAACATTGCTAATGGTGTTTCTCAAGGTTCTGTCTTAGGTCCACTTTTATTCTCCATATATATCAACAGTTTAGGTGAAAATGTGGATGAAGCTACTTTACATTTCTATGCTGATGATACCGTGATGTACTGTGCAGGTCCCTCCATTAAGGAGGCTGGTGTTAAATTACAGGCTGTTTTTAACATTATTCAGACTCAGCTCTCTGAGCTTAAGCTTCTTTTAAATGTAGAGAAAACCAAGGTAATGCTCTTTTCTAAAGCTAAAAAGACACCAGAGCCTGTTTTAGATATTATTACTATGCAAGGACAAGTACTTGAAGTGGTTACCAGTTATAAATACCTAGGTATCTGGCTTGATGATTATCTTACTTTTAAACTTCATCTCAATAACCTGCTTAAAAAGCTGAGGGTTAGACTAGGTTTCTTTTTCAGGAACAAGTCCTGTTTCTCGCTTGAGGCCAGGGAAAGGCTCTGTGACCTTTTTACCTGTACTGGACTATGGTGATCTGATGTATATGAATGCACCTGCCTATTGCCTGAACAAGTTAGATGCCGCCTATCACAGCGCACTGAGATTTGTCACAAATTGTAAAGCACTTACTCATCACTGCACCCTGTATGCCAAGGCAGGTCTGCCATCACTTACTGTAAAGAGGCTCAGTCATTGGTACACGTTTATTTATAAAGCTTTGTTGGGTAAACTCCCGTATTATATCTGCTCTCTGATAACACAGAGAGTTGCAAGCAGCTATTGTCTGAGATCGCATGATGTAGTATTGTTAGATGTGCCAAGAGCAAGGACTGTCTCAGGTAAGACAGCTTTTATGTGCGCAGCTCCACTTGCTTGGGACAGTCTTCAACAAGAATTGAAACTGAGCAATCTCATTCCTCTGCATGTTTTTAAAGCTAGGCTAAATGAAATGCTCGTTGATACTATGGCCACTTGTAAATGTCTATAACTATGTAAATGTATCCTGTAAATATAATGTATGATGTCCTTTATTGTTTTATGTTTCATGTGGAACCTATACGCTGCAGGTCTCCCTTGAAAAAGAGATCTATGATCTCAATGGGACCAATCTGGTTAAATAAAGGTTTGAAATGAAAAAAAAATGAAAAATATGGAATAACAGACGCCCCAGGCTCCGTTTGTCTCTCTTGTACTTGCCTTATGATCGAGGAGGATTACAGTTCCCTAACATGTTGTGGTAATACTTGGCAGCTCAGCTGAGAACATTGATGTTTTATTACACAGAGGAGAGGCCTCCGGTGTGGAGGGATGTTTAGTCTTGCTCCTTAAAGCTCCCACTTCCCACTTATCTATATTCTGACAACCCTAAAAACCTTAAAAAAACTACACCTAACCCTATAGTTAACAATATGATTGGTGTCTGGCAGGAGGTTAAAAAATATATGAACGAACCCTCTTCTCTCTCCTGGTTCAGCCCGATCTGGGGAAATACTCTTTTTGTGCCAGGGAATGCCGATGGAGGTTTTAGACTATGGGCTGAAAAGGGGGTGGGACAGTTAAAAGACATGTTTGGAAGTGATAATGGGAAGTTTTTTATCATTTGAGGAACTTGTCAGTAAACACGATATCCCTCGTAAACATTTTTTTAAATATTTGCAACTCAGGAGCTTTGTAGGAGCGAACCAGGATCGACTCATGCTGGCCCCTCCTCTGTCCATATTGGAGAAAGTTTTAATTAAAAACCCCTTTGGGAAGGGCATCATATCTGAATTCTATGATCTCCTGCTGGCGTTCTCCTCAGAATCCTCTAACTCTAGACTCAATGCCTGGAAAAATGACTTACAGGAAGATCTAACATTGGAACAGTGGAGCACAGCTTGTAAGGCGGCCCAAACACAGACGGGTAATACGCAGACAATATGGCGCACCGAGTACAGGTAATTAACGTCTTGTGGTTTTAGATATTGTAAGTGTAGCCTTTACATGTTCACAATTTAAATGCAATATGTATTTTCTAAGTTGTAAGGACTGAAGAATACTTCCCTCTGTTTTCAGAGCATGCAGCCAACGAGGTATGTTGTTGTGTTTGTATTTATTTCACATTTATTACTTTGCCAAAGTTATCTCACTTGCTGTGCATGTTATTGTGTGTCCAACACGATATTATGTTTGTCATACTGTTTGTTTATGTGTAATTTTCATGGTGGATTCGAAGAAGAATTAAACCCGTTATGAGAAAGCCACTTGTGTCTGCCTGTGCTTCGAGGGAATTACAGATAGGGTTACATACTATTTAGGTTCTCGGTTGTTTGTCGATTTGACTGTTTAGCGCAGTGTAATTGTGTTTATTTAGCTAATTTGTATTTTAAATATTCAATTTAAAGGAATGGAATACTTAAATAATATGTGTATGCTAACTGTTAATCTGTGATGGTTATTCTCGTGTCCAGGAAAGAGAAGCTTAAAAAGGAGACTAAATGGAGTCTCTGAGATGTTTTCAAATTGGTACTTTAATTAATAAAAAGGCACGGTAAAGTCACAAACAGGATATTGTCCGACAGAAAAGCAGCTGTCTCTGGCCCTCGCTAGCAGAGGGAAAAGAGGCCGAACCGCTCAGGTGCTGCTGTTATATATCCTCTCCTGGCTCCTCCCTGCGGGCCGGCCCTCCACATCTTAATGTCCGTTGTTACGTTTAAACAGAGGATTCAGGCATTGTACATTCAATATATACTTAAACACGCCTCTTCTCCTCATATTGTCTTTCATCACTTTTCCTTTAACACATTCTAAACGTTGTAGTTAATATTCTAAAAAATACAGAAAATACTTCACGACTGGTTTGGTTTCTGGTCATTCCGGATGTTGTCACATCTTACCCACGTCTGTAAACAATAACTTTATTCAAATAAACTGTACCTTCATTTAATATTCAGCAATAATAATACGTCTATAGTTGCAGTGTTAAAATCAGTAGGTTTTGGTGTGCATCACTCCATGTCATTTCGCTACTAAATTCACCTCTATTCTTTCACAAACACATACGGGTATTGGGCCGAGCGCGACACCGTACTTCCGGTCTGCGCCGTTTTACGCGAGGTGCAAGCAGCCGTACACCGTCTAGGGCTGCTTCTCATGTCGATTAAATGAAATCCTTGCTTCCCTCACTTGCGTTGTTTCCCTGCGTTTAGTCCCTCCCACCAGGGAAGCATGGAGGGACGCAAGGAAACCACGAGAAGCAGGGAAATTAGTTTTAAGAGCAATGGGACGTCCTTTCCTCCGGAGCGTCACGTGAAGCGACGTCCGTTTGTGATGACGCTACACAGCTGATCGTCTGACAGCAGCTCTGTCCCCGTTATTTCCACACACACCCCCGCCTCTGTTAGTACACATTTACTGACACAAACATTTGTATCATCTGTTGTAGACCCCAATAAATAAAATAAAATAAGAACTAATTCTCAAAAAAGATAAACGCCATTCTTAAAATGTATAAACGAACAATAGTTAGATTAATATTGATTAGAGTGCACAATAGAAATAAAATAATTGAGAGAAGAAAAAGAGATATGTTATCTATCAAAACCCAGTTAGATTAACATTCATTGGATTGCACACTTTGTTTGTTTGTTTGTTTGGATATGTAGTAAATTAACATTTCAATAGCACTTAATGACTGACTGAATGGAAATGACAATAAATGAAAATGTAAAACGAAAAAAGCGATCATGAAAATGTTTCCAAAAAATGAATTAAATGATTTGTGACCACTTTGTTGTTCAGATATATCACATATTTGTAACTAAATGAGACATGAATTGAAACAAAACACGGTATAAACTGAGGAGTGACTCCCGTGAGGTTCATGTATTTTCTTCACTCTGCTCTCATGTCAAGAAGCATCAGATCAGTGCATGCGCTGCCTCGTCCAATCAGTGAGCGATACACAGTAAGGGGGCGGGGTGAGTATCTGAGGATTTCATCGGAGGATGGTCTGGTGGTTCCTCGGTTATCGCTCCTCCATGATCGCTCCTCGCTCCTCGATCCTCGGTCCTCCGGCAGAAATAAGAGCCATGGGACGGTACTCAAGATGGCGCAGGCAAATCAACTTCCGGTGAGACCGAGGACCGAGGAGCGAGGAAATGAAAATAGTCGACCTGAGAAGCAGCCTAGGTATTGCTAAGCTTCCTGTACTGAATATCATAGTCTATTGCCTTAATCAATATCTAGTCAACTCTAAAATACCACATATATGCAATGGCATGATAATATTATTGTGACAAGTGGGGTATTCACCTGGTGTTTCCAGAAATTAGACGTAGATGCTGCCAAAATCGACGAAGGCCACTGTCGTTTTTCCATACATCTGCAGGCAGTCTGTAACAACCCACACAGCTCTAGTTTACGCTGGTAACGACCTAAAACACACCCCTCAAGTCCAGAGATGTAATCCGAAGACATGCAGTGATTTCTTCGGTCGTTAATTCAGAAAAAAAACCTACTGCGCTCTGCCTTGCTACGTTAGCTAGCTGTTTATATTAGCACCTCCAGGAAAATGGCGCATTTATATATATTTATATGGCGCGTGTTGCATTGTGGGTAGCTCGTGACGTCACTGTGTGTGAAAGAATAAGAAATGTTAAACTAGCCACATGCTAACTGCTAACCGGAGATGAAGGATTTTCAGAATAAAAGCTTAACAACTGGTTGTGCACAATAATTTTCTGGTTTTTCAGTATAAAACAGCATTTAACTGACGGTATGTTTAAACTACATATATACCATCAAAACATTGATTTTAATTTCTAACATAACTGAGCGAGCATGTAACCCAGGTGGATGCAATCAGGTAATTAGGACAGAGCCTCTGTTTTTAGATGGGGTTTGTGGCCATGCTGTAGGCCTGACGTTTAAAATAAATGATCAAATCTTATCTGTTAAGATGAACGTTTAATTTAAAAGGTTTTTATTTATTTTTTTAAGGAGGGACCCCAGAGCCAAGGGCAGGCCGAGCAGACCGCCTTCTCCCGCCGCAGGCAGGATCAAACTCTCGGTCCGGTGATGGGCTCCGTGCAACAAGTCCCAGTCTGTGCGGGGAGCGGCGCCGTGCCCATACTCCCTGTTCTGCACCACGGTGATGCTGCTGTCATCGCTCGCCTCTCCTCCAGTGGTGCCCTCGGCTCCCTCCGCCGCCACACTGCCCAGCACACTGGAGATCACTATCCCGTCGGGGGTCGCCAGTCTCTGGCACTGTTATTCTGAAACGCGCATGGTGGGGTTTGACGCTGTAGGAGGTCGGAACAAAACCGTGGCACAGCCATAACACGGCACACACGGACCAACACAGTCTCACCCAGTGCTTGAATTGGAATAAAAAAGGTGCCAGTACTCTAAATCAGCAACTGTTTCAAGTACATTTATTTATACAGCACAAAAACAAGAATTTGGCTCAAAGTCAGAGTATATCCTGCTGGTGGGTTTGTCTCTTTACTGTATATTTTAGAAAGGCTCACTGTACTTAAACAAAATGACTCTAAAATATTTACAGCGTTGCTGCCCATAGTGATAGCCCTCTAGTTGAAATATACTACCCAAAAATAAACATATGGACATGGGTTACTATTTAAAAAAAATTGCAAATCTATTTAGGAACCTATGTGAACATATTTTAAGTGGGGGTGGACCTCAAATCCTATAGGGGGGTCTGGGGGCATGTTCCCCCGGTAAGATTTTTTTTAAAATGTTGGACTTAAATGCATCAATCTGGTGCACTTTGAGGGGGAAATAAAGAGACTACACCCATATGAAACAGAACTGTATTCATTTAAATAATCATAAAATCATAAGTACATGGCCATAACCAATAACATACCATATCCGATATGAAAAAACATTGAAACTTGTTTATTTATTTGTTTTTAGTTCATTGATAGTTGTGAGTGTGTCTGTGCTCCTGAACCAGCCTCTCCTGTCTCCCTCCTCTCCCCCTGCTCCTCTTTGAGGCAGCAGCAAAGACTAGTTTTAGCTCTCAACAAGTTTATCTTACCTTTTTTCACCTAGTTAACATTTTATTTGTATTATTCATCCATATTTTACTAATCACTCCCCCCTCAAATGGAAATATGTGTTTACATAAATGGTGACCGAACCGTTTGAGACCTAACTTAGACTAAGTTAACTATCTAAACACTCAGAGAGTAATTTACCTCACCTGAGCTGAGGTTATCAGTCTCTCAGTTTGACAGCAGAGGACTCTCCCCCCACCTTGTTGTTGAAACAGCTCCTTATATCCGTTAGCGCAGCTAGCTAGCACCAGATGCTAACAACAATACACGTAACCGGTGCGTGCGCTTTCTTGCTCGCTCGCGCCACACATACACACACCCTCCCGAGCTTGAATGACACACAGAGACCAATCGAGGGCATTAGTATGATCTGTATGAAAGTGGCCATGTCGGCAGGCCACATCATGATCAGACCCACATTTGCGCAGCGTTGCGTTCACAATACATACGTATACAAAAAAATCCTCAGGCCAGCAGGCCACTTAACAGGCCAGGCCATCGGGAAACCTCCCGGTCCTCCCGATGGCCAGTCCGGGCCGTCATGACGTGCCGCCGGCAGCCGGCGGCTGAGTACCAGCATTTTACTGAGTACCGGCACCTTGCCGGTACTCAGTAAAATGAAAAGACGGTACTGCATACTCACCGGTACTGCGTACCGGTGAGTATCGGCCCAATTCAAGCACTGATTATAGGATCGTTTACTTTCAGTCAACAAATCCTTTGGAAAGACAAAAACCAACTATTCAATATTCTGCTTTACCGCGACTGCTAACTGCCGAAGATGAAGTCTATGACGCTATCGCGTAGAGCTACGTCGATGCTTGCGTAATGCGGAAGTGGGCGTGGTTAAATCTAAACTGAGTTGGAAAAACGATAGACGCGACCAGGCCTGATGGAGGAGCCCATGCTGGGCATAGCTGATACCAACTGCACAGGCCTAGTCTGTCACTTTATTTGACTAAATGTGTTTACTTATACATTTAATAGGTTCACACCTTCTGTCCATATGTGCTTTTTATTTAAAACATTTTTGATTAACTTTTGGTTCACATATCAATACATTGAATTTGTATTTGTACTCCTTTTGTCCATTATTCTTACTGAAAATGTTAGATTACACATTCACATCCGACTGAAGATTGGCCCCATTTATTTGTGACGTTGCAAACTCTGCGGTACAAGGCACAAGTGATGTGAAGCTCATAAAGCCAGGCAAATAGAAAGTCCACATTCCACTGGACGTGGCAGGCAGGACGGAATGTAACTAACGTTCATATTTCTCTTTTTGATTATAATACTGATGAACGTTCAGAACAAAGCACTTTGGCAACTTACCACATACGTTTTAAAATGCTTAATAAGCACCGTAACTTTCATGATATCATTTCTCGGTCATAATCGGTTGTTTCTGTGAACGGCCGAATGTCCCCTTGCCTTAAATGCTGCGGCCGCAAGGCATTGTGGGGCAGCATTTTCTCATTTTCTTTTGTAAAGGAAGATCCAGTGTTTCCTAAGCTAGAGGAGGTTGTAAAGGAAGTTTGAAACCTCCTTTCCTTTCATCTAGAGCAGGGATGGGCAACTTGGATTGTGGTGGGGCCACATAATTGATGTACTGGCCACCAGGGGGGCGCAGATTCACTTGGAACACACACACACACAAATTCCATGTATTGTATGTAATTATTAACAAATATACTAAGTGTGAAATCTTCATTGACATTTTACAATCTTTCAGGGAACATCGTCTAATAAGCTCACTAAACAAATAGCAGTTGTATAAGTGGCATGTTTGTATTGAACAGGTTATTTAACAGTGGAATAAAACTATTTTAAACTATTGGAAAGCACGTAAAATGTGTGTGCAAGATTAACCATCAAGATGAAATAAACATGAAGTCATGAACACTAACCCAGACATGAACCTAGGACACTTGTAGCCTTTCTCTGCTGACGCACAATAAGGGGAATGTCAACACAGACACCTGTCAGCCCACACTCTGCTGTTCCTCAGCGCCGCTCCCCCTCCCTCCCACTGAAATTATGAATGAAAAACGTAGTAATCATAGATAACACGACAGGGTCCGTGACAGTTTGTTTTCATCTGATTTCAAATAAACAAAGTCTTGGTTTTAAGAATATTAAACTTGTTTCGCCAAATTCAGATGATAAAAACTACTTTTAAGCTTGTAAAGGCATAATTACAAGAGGCAACTTAATGTCACAGCAGGCATAACAACAGCCGGTGTTTCTTGTGAGTGTTTCCCCGGGAAACAAACACAATACACACAAACATGTCACAGATTATTTCCCAGTATTTGGCTGCCGAACAAAATCATGAAGCCTACGCAGATCGCCATTTGCCTATCCCTGATCTAGAGAATTCGAACGGCTCTTATCATGGCTGCTACTGAGGTACTTCCGGGTCATTTCACTCCGTTAGGAAGGTTCCTAAGACAAACTGACAATTCGACTCCAGCCTCGGTCCTGACGGACTCCAAAAGTCCGACATTATACAATCAAACAAATAAATAAAACGATGAAACAATACAGATTTCAGTATTCTAAGCCCCTGCTCTCCCCTTAACTGACGGCAACAAAAGTCCGACATTATTCAATTAAAATAAAGAAGTAAAAAAAACAAGTGTGGCTTGATATTGAGTTAGAAAAAGGTTGATAAACACTGTGAGAATGGATCTGCGGAGAGCATTTCTCTGCGATCTCAACTCGTCTATTACCAACGTTCAGGGAGCTCTATGCAAGTCAATGGGACGCCCTGATAGTTGAAAATCGACGCTAAAGGGCCCCCACTGCGTTTGATAGTGACGCCAAGGGATCCTGACATAACGTCAACATAGTACGAGTTGGGAGTGAGAATGTGTTGGTTGATCAGTGACTGAATATCTACCATTAGATGTAAAAAGAGACGCAGGACAAGTGTAGCCATTATCATTTTTATTGTTGGTAATTATAAATATCCAGTTTAAATACATAATAAAATAGCTTGGACATTTCCATGACTTACATATATTAAAAGCTTCCCAAAAATGTAGATACCTTTGAAATTTCAGGATCTACAAACCTGAGCCACAAAAAAAACAGGATCAACAGAGGGTTTGCAGACAGATGCTACACAGTAGCAGAGAAGACTTCCTGTCCTCCACACAACACCGCTGTGGGTCCTCAGTGACTGAAAGGAGACGTTCTATTAAATAAAAGTCAAATGAATAATCAATAGGTTCCTCCTGTTGACTTGTCGATAAGGATTGTTGAAGGGTTAGGCCTTGAATGATCAGAGACTGATGGCAAAACGGATATATAACACAACAGCGTGTAACTTTTGGAGATATGTAGGGCAAATAAATAAGAATGTGCAAGTTTAACATCAGCAAAAGCAACATGTATTCATAGAAAAAAAAACTGTTTCAACATCTTTCACAAATGGACTATATGGACTTATATTTTTTCAGGAATTTTGTGAAAGCAATGGCACACATTTTAATATGCACACATCTAACACTATATATTTTTGGACAAATTATCAACAAACAAATAAATCCCTCTTTTTATGATATTAATGTCTCTACATTATATTATTATGTTCTAATTTAGCCATCTTGTGCTCTGATGCACATACTACATTTTATTGCTGATTTAATGGTTGTGGGTGGCAAGTTTCTTCTTTTTAGATTAATCAATGTTGTTGAGAAATTATAATCATACAAAGAAAGGATATTTTGTGTGCTAATACTTTCTCTTCAATTAATCTTATTCTGGTCTAAAAGTGTGCCATTGTGCGCTCAGAAATGTCTCAAAAATGTCTGTGGTCCCAGATGTCTTGTGAGGAAGTGATTGAACAGAAGGTGTTCTTCTTTGTTGGTGCAAATGTTTTCATGGTAAACTGTATTTGAGATGTGTCAGAATGCCAATTTACCTGCTCACGATCCCTGCTGCTGAATAATTGCCTGGTGAATACCCATGAACAAAGCATTTAAAGAACAAAGCAGCAGCTCCATTTTCAGGGCAAATCCCTTCCCGGATGCTCGTCTGTCGGACATATCCGTTTGTTGTGTTAATGCTGATCCTTTCATGCTTCCTGTTTGTTAATCCTACTCCTGCTATATTCAGAAGTGATATCCTACATTTCTCAGAGTGCCTTTTAACAACCCACACAGAAGAGGCTTGTTGCAGTAGTGTAGGTGGAGAATCTAATGACAAGCTGGAGGGGGGGTGTGGGGGGATCAGAGTCAGACAGGGCCTTGTTTTTGGAGTTTTGGCCAATGTATCAGCTATTGTAATGTTTCACTCACTTGCTGAGATCTGTAGTGCTCTGACTAGTT